CCACGTTCTAGCAGGTATGGGAGATCATTTAGTAGAAGAGAACTCATCGGCAACAGCGTGTGACGCGAGCATCGACGAGATGTGACATTACGCCGATCTTGCACATAATGGAAAAATGATATCCAAAACGACACCTGGGAGATTCGAACTCCCGCGGGCAGAGCCCAACGGCTTAGCAGGCCGCCGCCTTAACCACTCGGCCAAAGTGTCTGATAAAATGTGTATAATCATGCCACCGCTGTATAGTATAAATTGATGGCATGATACAGATATGATGTTGTATATAGTATCCGCGTATCTAGAGATTGCCGGTCTAATTTCGTGCAATGACCTCGACGTATTGATGCTTCCCTTAGCATGTTGAATATTATTTGTAAGTTTAGCAACATTCGATAAGACTTCCATTTTGAAGAGATTATTCTTCCAGGTCGAACCCACGACCAGTAACACAAGTCAGTAGATAGATCAAACCTCTTAGTCAACTATTATAAACTAAGAAATAGTACTCGAACTACTACAAGGCTTAGTCATTTGCTTTCGGAATAGCCTCACTGCTGAGTTCTGGGGCCATGATCGACAAACTAAATGCATTCTAAGCCTAGTAAATGACTTATGTATATCAAGCAATAGTTGCGCATGAGCGACTTAAAAAAGTGCATAGAACACCGAGAACAGGAAGACGGCAGTAAGACTGTTGCCAACAGGCCCAGCCGCCGACGTCTTAGGAATACAATCGTCCCCGCCAACCGAACGAGATTCCCTTGCGAGAATGGTGGGCTTACTCAGAGCGACTTCGACGGCTTTCGCAGCATTCAATCGACCGAAATAAGGGTTCTTGCTTCCAAGACCAGTAGTGAGAACATCAGTGGAGGCCAGAATAGAATTACTCACATCCTCTCTAGAAAGACCCAAGGCGTACAGAAGTGCCGCAACACCAGTGACGTGTGGAGTAGCCATTGAGGTACCAGTCATGTAAACGTACTCATTGTTCGGGTAAGTCGATGGTATTTCCTCTCCAGGAGCTGCGATATCAACAAAGGCGGCATAGTTACTATGAGGAGCGAGGCGATCATTCGACCGCTTGCCACTAGAGGCCACACATAACATATCGATCTGCTCAGTGAAGGCGCAAGGATACACTTTATCAACGCTCATGTCGCGACCTTCATTTCCAGCAGCAGCAACGACCAGATGGCCCTTCTCAGCGGCTCTCGATATCGCCACTCGAAATGTCGCACTGAAATCTGAGCTCCCATACGAATGCGACGACAGATCAGCACCGTTCTCCACGGCATAGTTCAATGCCTTGAGAGCTAGCCGAACATCCCCAACACCATCCGGACCAAAGACTCTCAAGGGCATGATCTTCACTTCAGCGATGCC